CAAGTAGTGTCACCATGTGTCACAAGTAGTGTCACCATGTGTCACAAGTAGTGTCACCATGTGTCACAAGTAGTGTCACCATGTGTCACAAGTAGTGTCACCATGTGTCACAAGTAGTATGTCACCATGTGTCACAAGTAGTGTCACCATGTGTCACAAGTAGTGTCACCATGTGTCACAAGTAGTGTCACCATGTGTCACAAGTAGTATGTATATTGAGTGTAGTAGTGTACGTCTCCAAGGTACACAAGTGTACAACTGTGGGGTCTTTTGTTGTTAACTCGTCTATCATAGCTCCAGTAGTACCTATATTGAGTGTACGTCTCCAAGGGTACAACCAAGGGTCAGTGGTTGGTGACTAATCTATCTTTGTCACTGTCGAGATTATTAGTGGTACACACCAGTGATTATTATGCTAAGCGTGCGTCTCCGAGGTAAACACGAACCACCGCTGCAGCCCGTGACTGACAGCTGCTCCCCAGGGGGCGCTGCGTGGTCGGATGCTGGTGGTGGCCCTCCAGGGGGCGCTGCGTGGCCCCCGGAGTGGCGCAGACGCGCAGGATGATAAACATTGTGATGTGGAGTGCACTAATGGAAGACTGGTGATGAGAGAGCAGGGGAGGGAGAGAGAGAGAGAGAGAGAGAGAGAGAGAGAGAGAGAGAGAGAGAGAGAGAAAGGGAGAGAGAAAGAGAGAGCGAGAGAGAGAGAGAGAGGGAAAGTGAGTAGGAGAGAGAAAGAGAGAGAAAGAGAAAGAGAGAGAGAGAGAGAGAGAGAGAGAGAGAGAGAGAGAAAGAGAAAGAGAGAGAGAGAGAGAGAGAGATAAAGAGAGAGGGAGGAAGTCTAATCCATTCTTATATTTTATAGCAAATCCTAGCATCCTCAGCAGCAGCAGCATCACCATCATCATCATCATCATCATCATCATCATCATCATCGTCATTTCACCTTTACTGTTGTCTCCTTCGCATTATCTTTTACTCATGATCACTTCTTGCATTGTCACACCTTGTCTCACGTTATGTCACTCACATTGTCACACCTTGTCTCACATTGTGTCACATTGTGTCACACCTTGTCTCACGTTATGTCACTCACATTGTGTCACATTGTGTCACATTGTCTCACATTGTCTCACATCATCAGACATCATCTCATATTGTCTCACGCTGCCTCACACCATATCTCATTGTCTCACATTGTCTCACATCATCAGACATCATTTCATATTGTCTCACGCTGCCTCACACCATATCTCATTGTCTCACATTCTCTCACATTGTCTCACATCATCAGACATCATCTCATATTGTCTCACGCTGCC